GGTCGGTCCCAGCATGGCTTGCAGGATGGTGGCCATCCTTCGAGGCTCTCATTTCTCTCTCCCTAGCACTCCTGCTCCATGGTGGTGACAGAGGTCTGCTTCTCCCTCTGACCCTTCCCCCTCTCATGTGCTCTATCTCATTCTTGCTCTCTCAAATAAATAAAATCTTTTAAAAAAAAAAAAGGGGGGGAGTGGACTCGGAGCCTTCAGCAGAAACCGCCACACGTGCGCAGGGACGCGTGAGAGTAGCACACGACGAGGCAACCAGCCCTGGACACGGGGGCCAGGGGGCTCCTTGCACACCAAGTTTCAGGAGCCGGAGCCAGGCTCTGTCGGTTCTCACTCACACACACACCCTCACACACTCTCTCATTCTCACAACCCCACACACGTTCACACACACTCACACACTTGTATCCCCCCACTCATGCACACACACTCACGTGTCCTCTCACACACTTTCACACCCTCACACACGCTCACGTGCGCATACACTCACACCCACTCACGTACCCTCTCACACACACTCTCACACCCTCACACACATTCAAACACTCACATTCACACACTCATATCCCCCACTCATACCCGCACACTCTCTCACACACCTTCACACGCTCACTCTCACACACCCACACACACACCCCACTTTCTCACACACCTTCACACTCTCACACACTCACTTTCACACACACACACTCACACCCCCCACACTCTCTCTCGCTGTCACACCCACACACACCCTCTCTCTCACACACACACACTCACACCCACACACACACCATGCAGGTGTCATCACAGACTCTAAGGACAAGCTGAACAATCCAGCCAGGTGGAGGTGGAAAGGGCCCAGAAGTCTTGGACGAGGCGGCAAATGTACTCCCACATTAGCCCTCCGGCTTGGGAGTCAGGCTTCTCTCTCCTGTCCACTCCTTCCAGCTCACCTTCTTACTGCCCTACGAGTGCTCGATGGTGGAAACCAGAATGCTGACAATGAACGGGGAAAACCAGAATGCTGACAATGAACGGAGCAGTCCTTCCCCACGAAAATATGGAAAGTGCCCCCTGGGCTTTGGTGGTCAATTTAAGCTGGCTGCTGTCAGCATCCCTCCAGAGCCTATGGGGCCGGCCCGCTGAGGAAGAGCTCTTAGGATAAGGACCGTCTCTGCTTAGGAGGTTAGGGGAAGCATCTTCTTTCCTAACACCTTGCTTTGCTATTAGAAATAGTAGGGCTCAGGACCCTAACTTTTGTACTAATTGCCCTGTCAGAGTAATGTGAGAATTCACTTAAGCACAGGCATTTATTTTCATTCCAGCTCGGGATCCGATCGAGTTAGTGGGGAGCTTACCACGAGGAGGGCACACAGCGAAGCTGCCCACAGGAGTGGGAGCAGCCGGGGTGGGCGTTGGGGGGGTCACACGTCCCAGGCTCCCGGGCACCGAGGCAGAGGGTCCCTCTGATAGCCAGTTCGGTGCCCGAGGCTCAGGACATTTCTCATCTCAGTACAGGGACTCTGCTAGAAATTAAAGGGCCAAGTAATGGTGGGCCACAAAAAATGGCTGGAGCCCAGCCGCAGACTGTCTAGGGCAGGTGACGTTAAACAGACAGGTGGGCAGCATCACATCAGGTTGCAGCGCTGGCGGTGCTCAGGACCCTGGAAGGTGGAGAGGAAAGGACAAGAAAGAGCTGTCTCACAGAGGATAGCGCACCGGGCGGGCTGGATCGCAGCCTCCGAAACCAGGCCAGGGGCGCAGGAGCGCGGGCTCAGACACGTGGGTGGGGAGGGGCAAGGAAGGAAGAGAAGCCCGTGGTGAGACCCGGTGCGGGGCCCTCCGGCGCTAGCAGCAGAGTGCCCGTACACTGGTGCGGGAGAGAAGCGGCTTCCTATCTCCCGACTCTGGTGAGAACTGCCTGCCCCCGGTGGAGTCAGGGCAGAGTCTGCCGCAAAGATCAGGTGGCCCACCTCTGGAGGGGGGCGTCGGACCTCCCACGCATCAGCGTCTCCTGTGAGAGAGAGGGATTCACTCGGACCTTAGAGGTCGGTCCCAGCATGGCTTGCAGGATGGTGGCCATCCTTCGAGGCTCTCATTTCTCTCTCCCTAGCACTCCTGCTCCATGGTGGTGACAGAGGTGTGTGTGGGGGGGACCGTGTCCATGTGTGGGAACCCCAGACGGCAGACGCAGGTCTGTGGGCTGTCCTGGCTGCCTCTGGGCGCATCCCTGAGAACCTTAGCTCAAGAGAGTCTGGAGTAGGTAGGCAGAGGAAGGAGTTGAGACCCAGCCTGAGACCCGGGTTGTAGGACAAGACTCAGGAACAGAGCAAGGTTCCAGACAGATGCCCCAGCTTCAGTTTGGTGGCCTCAGCCACAATTCTAGAAACAGTACATACCAGCTGGGCTGATCAGTTGTGTGGGAGGACCAGAGATGAAAACATTTTCGGGGGGCACCATTACTAGGGATCCAGGCAGCCCCTGAGAAGCTGTGTGGGGCTGGTGTGATGCAAAGGGCCCACTCAGACTGAGGAGGAGAGAAGGGGAGGTGGCAGGGAGAGAAACATTGCAGGGTGCTGGAATTTGGTCGCAAGGTCAGGGCGGGGTTTAGTACCAGGCAAGAAGGTAGATCTGAACCAAGGAGGAGAGGCCAGTGGGACGGACTGAGCCGCCTGGTGTAGGGAGGAGGGCAAGCCCAGCGCTGGCCCAGACCTGCCTGACAGCCAGGAGGCCAGGCTTCCCACGGAGTCCCCAGGTGTGGTCCCGGCCCTACCCCCAGGCACGTCATCACATTCTCAGCAGCCGGGCTTCAAACCCAACCCGAGTTCTGACCCAAGTTTCTACTCCTTCCCTCGGCTCGGGTGCCATCAGCATGTAAGTGGCATCAGACTCACCTAGAAGGCTTGTGAGAGCCTGCTTCAGTTGGTCTGGGGTTGGGCGGGAGAGTTTTCATTGCTACCAAGTCCCCAGGTGATGCTGATTCTGTGGGTCTGAGGGCCCCACGTTGAGAACCACTGCTCTGTGCCCTGGTGCAAACCCGCCCCAGCTCAGCGTGGCCATCAGCCCGGGCCTCAGCTTCTCTCTGCTAATGACGCCCTCCCCCGTCTGCCAGGTTCACCCTGTGGGGAGTGGACAACACCGGACGGCGCTCCAGGCCCAGCGACGTGATCGTGAAGACCCCCTGCCCCGTGGTGGACGATGTCAAGGCCCAGGGTAAGTGACAGCAGAGCCTGCAGAGGGACGCCCCAGGGGCCTCCCCTCGCCATGACGGAAGCGAGAGCTAGGGAGTCAAACAGAACAACCTGGGGTTCCACGGGGAAGGGGGAGAATTCAAGGCACGTATCTGGGAGTACTCCACCTCTGCCTCCGGCAGAGATCCTCATGGTATCCCATTATCTCACACACTTCGGGTCAGGGAGCCGGGGAGGACACACTGGCGAAAGCCCCGGGCACGCACAGTAACACACCAGGTGCTTAGGTACATGGTGGAGTCCCGTGACCTTTGCCTTTGGGATTCCTCTCTTCATATGTGTGTGTACATCGGCAGAGTTCTTTTGAATTAAAACATAGAAAGGCTACAGATGTGGACATCTGTGCAAACAGCACACTTGCGGGAACTCCCTTTCCTCCCGATGCCCCTTGGCGGGTCTTGATAGTGTCCCCTGCTCTGAGGCTTAGCACATGCCATCCACAACCAGGATTTGGCCATCTTGGGCATCCCTTCCGCGCGGCTCTCACACCAAGAACAGGGCTCTGACCAACCACTGCGGGCTCTCCAGGGACTGATTTGCACTTGAGCGGACACATGGGCCATCGCAGAGAACTCAGGCATGCAGGTTTCAGGAAGGGAAACAGTGTGGCCAAGCCGACTGCTGGCTCCTCACGTTGCCTGAGATGGCTCCTGACTCCTGACTCCTGACTCTCCAGGTGTATCAGGCTGCCCATGAGGAAAACAAGCCCACAGCGATCAAGGGGTGCGCACGGTGATGCAAGATCACAGGGGAGAGAGTGACCAGACCTACCTTAACTAAATCACCAATGTTGTAGCACTTTACAGCTTCTGGAAGGATTCTCACATTTATCGCCTCATTTAATGTGTGGGACACTGTTCTTTTCAACTCAGGAATCTGATCATATTAAGACCCCTTCTTAAAACTCTTTAATGGATTGCCATTCTTCTTGTGACAAAGACCAAAGTACTTAACAGACACATGAGGACCTAAATGAGGTGACCCTCGCCCACTTTTCCAGCCTCTTCTCATCCACTCTCCCCATCGATCTCTGCATTTCAGCCTCACTGCTTTTCTCAGGTCCTCCACACCATTCCCACTCCTACCACTGGCCCTTTGCACGTGTCCGTCTCATTACCTTGAACACCCTTCACCCCCACCCCTGATTAACTAACTAGCTCCTCTCAGCCTGCAGATTTCGGGTCAAGTGTCCCTTCCCCGGTACAGTGAAGAGGTCAAGGGCAACTGCTAGATGTTCTCACAGTATCATGTTACTTTACTTCAGCACATTCATCTCCGTTATTAGAATCGTGTGTTCAATATCTACCTCACTGGACAGTGAACTCCAGGAGAGCAGAGTCTGGTTTGGTTTACTCACTATTATGTCCCTAACACTTAGAAGGAAGGCAGCATGGTGACTGACTGGTTACAGACAATCTTAGGCTCTGGAGTCAGACCATCCAGCTTCAAATTCCTGCTCTGCCATGTACTTGACCTTGAGCAGTTTATTTCACCTCATCCCTCAGTTTACTACTCTATAAAATGGGGGAAGGGATAATAGTACCCTACCTGATATGATTCTAGTAAGAATTAAATGAGTGAATTTACAGTATTTTTTTAAGTGCCCATCCCAGAGTAACTGTTCAGTAAATGCTAGGAAGTATATATTCTAACATCATGCCCCTCGTAGTCAACCTGATAGAGCAGGAGTCAGGGGACATAATGATTTCAGGGGTACCAGCAATGTGCTTAGCCACAATATTTCCCTGATTGAAACTGGCTCAGCCTAGAATTCCAGCATCAATGTCTCTGTTAATTTGGAAATGCTGCCACTAACCATGCAGAGTCTGCTTTCTAATAGGGACCCAATAAGGATTTACTGAATGGATAGAATACTGCCCCCATTTTATAGATGCGGAAATTGAGATGCAGAGTCGAGTGAACGGCTGACCAGGGTCACAAAGTGAGCACTGAACAGAGACAGCACTCAGACTCATTATTTGACATCAATTCCCATTTTGCCTACGGTGTTAAATCAGATATTTAGAAGGTCATTGTGTAAAAGAGTGAAAACCTTTCTTTGTCTTGGAATGAAAAAAAGAACTACATTTTTTTTTTTAAAAAAAAAAGAGTATTCAAGTTAGGTAGAAGAAAAAATTCTCCCGTTCAGGATTATTAGAATCCACTGGGACGTTCCAGTGGAGTGGAGACCTTTACGTATAAGACAGATGTGCTTCTCCCCGGAGTGAGTGCTGCCTGGCTTATAGGGTATGGACCAAATGACTTTTGGAGGTCTTGAAATCCCTTGATGAAAGCAGAGTCTAGGGTTGAAAACCCTCAGATGAGAGGCTGTCTGGAGAGGCCCCCTGGCACCCTTAGGTCATCATCTGTTGATTTCTTACTCCAAACCAGAGAGGAGCAGGTGATGAGAAGGTGCCCCAGCTAATTCTGTTTTGGAGAACTTGCTTGTGTCCTTGCCGGCCACAGTAGGCACCTTGGACTTGCTTGCTAAATAGGCAGCAGGCTGGTGGTGGGGCATCAGGGAGGTGATGAGCAGGTAGATTTGCAGCACAGTGCTACCTGCAGAAATAGATGGACAGACAGCAACTCTGGAGTAAAGAGGGGTCAACATAGAGTAGCGTGCCTTGGAAAGACCGCTATTCTGTTTCTCTGTGGGGCTCCTTTGGGTTAATTCCAGCCCCCAAAGTGAATCAAGATGTGCTTCTGCCCACGTGGGCTCCCCGACAAAGGAGAGTATCTGAAATCCCAGCGGACCAGCTGGGCACAGAAAAGTCAGTTTCATGCTGAGAGAATGAGGTAGCATCCCCATGTGCTTTTACTCTTCCACCAGGAGGGAGTCCTGTACAGGGCAAACGTGCAGATTAATGAGGTGGACTCATTGAGGGGATCCTCACAAATTAATACAGTTCTAGCAGCTCTACCGAAAAACCATATGCTTTGCCTTCTTCAAACCCAGATGGTGATCATAAATATAACTTACTTGGGTCTGAGTTTAAACCCGACGACAAATGGGAATTAGCTTTTAAGTGACCCAGAGGATGACCTCAGCTCCTAATGATCCATCAGGAAGCCAGACTACTCCTTATATGAATACTTTTCCTAAACCAGATACTTTCTATGAAGAATTTTAGCACATCATGACGCTAAAGCCACTGAGCAAGTGAGTTGCCACCCGTGTTCTACTGAGAGCGTCCTGCCCGGCGAAGAACAAGCTCGTGTCAGCGATAAGACCAGCCTCATCTCCGGGCAGGGGCATGGCCTTGCAAGAGTTCTCTGTGAAGCTTCACGAAGTGAAGGCCAGCTCTCATCCATCACTCCCCCCAGCATCCATCCTTCTTTCCTGATGCCAAACATAAATTCTTGTCCCTTCCTTCCTCTGGCACTTATTGAGCCCTGGGATTAGATACTACAGAAACAACAATAATTAGACTCAGAATTTGTTTTCAAAAACTGTGTAATCAGATTTCATAAATGCACCAAATCATACCACACATATTAAGCCCCGACTAAATACCTGGGGGGCAAACCCCCTGCCTCCTGGAGCTTAGATTTCAGCAGGGGGGACAAACTACAAAAGATAGTAAAACAAATATTTCAGATGGTGATGTATGTTATGGAGACTGACTAGCAGGGAAATGGGATAAGCAGTGCACAGGGCAGCATTTTAACTGGCGTGGTTTGGGAAGAGGGTGAAGGAGGAAGACACAAAGATACCTGGGGAAGATCATTCCAGATAGAGGAGCAACAGGACAGAGATGCCTGGTGTGTTTGAAGATGGGAAAGGAGGCCCCTGTGGTGGCGAGGGATGGAGAAGAGAGAAGGTGGAGATGAGCTCCCAGGGGCCCAGTGCAGGGATGGGGACTCGGCCTGGGACTAAGCAGGGAAGCACTGAGCACTTCAAGCAGAAGAGGGACATGATCGGGCTTAGCATTTCACAGGCTCGTTCACCTGCTGTGCTGAGAGCGGACTCCAAGTAGCAGGTCCAGTGGGGAGCCAAGGCAATGGCAGGGGCAGAGGAGAGAGGATGCTCGTGAGAGAGGTGGCGAGAAGTGGTTTGGTTTTAAATTATTTTGATGGTAGAACCAAAAGGATTTGCTGACGGCTTGGAGCAGGAAAGAAAAAAGTCATGCCAAGGCAGGCTGAGCAGAACCGCCTAGTTCAATGGCTTGGACTGTCCCCCAGCAGACCCCAGCATCCTAGATGAAGACACAGAAGAGGCCAAGGATGGAGCAAGATGGTTGAGGGCACAGGCCATGGGCCCTGTGGATTATGTCAGGTAGAGAAGGGTGTAGATACAGAGCTGATGCCCAGAGGGAGTGGTGGAGCCAAAAGACCTGGGGGCTGAAGGACAGATTTGATGGAGGGAAGTACAGGAGGCTTGAAAGGAGGTTGTGTTCACCAGATGTGGTGTTGGGATTTACTGTTTCAAAGCTGGAGAAGGTTTCAGACAATGACTGACTCTTGGCAGCTGGGGGGCGGGGTGGGGTGGTTCTAGTCTTAAAGAGGTCTTTCATATGGACAGTGAATTCACCCAAAATAGTGATGAGAAATGAACTGGAGAATGAACGAGATGCCAGGTTTTTCCATGGATGTAGAAGAATGGCCAGGAAGTGGGCCGGGGGAAATAGGAAGAGGCAGGTGAGTTTTTAAGGTGGGGGGGCTCTTACATATATACACAGAGAACAGTAAATTGTTTGCAGGAGGTCAAGAGAGGCTGAGGGACTGGGGCATGGGAGGATTCCTCTGTGTGGACGAATGCTTCAGGCAAGTTTCTGCCAACACAGGGACACGGAGGCAAGGAAGAGTGTTTGCCAAGGTCAAGGATGAAGGGAGAGTTGTTTGCCATATTACTGGTCCCAGAGGAAGCAAGGAAATTCTTGAGAGAATGAATTCGTATAGAGCAGTGGTTCTCTAAGCTGCAGCAGCATCACCTTGGAACTTGTCAGAAAGGCAAATTCTCAGGTTCCATCTGAGACCTACTCAATCAGGAACTCCAGAGGGAGCCAACAATCTGTGTTTTCACAGGCCTTCCAGGTGGAGAATCAAGTTTGATTCCTGAGGTTGAGAGTCACGGGTGTGAAGGGTAGCACAGACCAGCCTGGGGAGGGGCTGCACAGGGAGGGCGGACGGGCTGGGGGTGGGGGAGGGGACCTCATGGTGTGGACAGTGCCAGGAATGACAAGGATCATTGCCCTCAGGTTTTCATAGGGAATTCTGTAGTCAGTTACTTTACTGTGGGGACAGACTAATGTCTCAGCCCTCCCCACCCAGGAACTAATGAAAATGGTGACTTAGGACTTCCGTTCGGGGGATTTTTGTTATAGCATCAAGGGAGGTTTTAGGTGGTGTGGATGCCTCCCAGGGTTCTCATTTCATAGTAAATTTCGTAGCCATTGCTGGGGTATAAGAAAGCTTCCTTCTGCCCCGGAGTCACTCCTCTCATTCAAATAAGACTATTTGCCCCAGTCTCTTGGACTCCCATGTTTCAGTGTCTCTCTCATGGCATTGGGGAAAGCATGATCTCCTGGAGAACCAGTAACAATTAATCATCATCATTAATAATAATAATAAAATAACATCTCCTGGTTGTCTGGTTCTCCTCTCAACTCATCTTACTCCAAATACTGTGGCTTATTTGCTATTTTCAAATACACAGCCCAGAGGCTGGGAGCTCTCTGCTGGCCTTGCTTCTCCCTGGCATGCTCTTCCCCACAGAGCCCTGCAGCTCATCTCCTCCCTTCCTCCAGCTCTCGGCCCCAGGGTCGTCTCTTCAATGAGACCTATCACGGCTACCCTGCTTAAAATCTCAGTGTCCTACACAACACTCCCATGCTTCCTTCTCCTGCCTGACTTCCTGCCACTTCCTCACAGAGGATATTGTATTGGCGATGTATATTGCTTCCCGAAATGCCTCCTCTCACTAGACTGTAAGTGCCTCAAGGGTGAGGAATTTTGTCAGTTTCTCCCTGCGGTAGCCCAAGTGCCTAGAAAAACATCGAGCACGTGGTAAGCCCTCAGGAAAAATTGTATTGAGTGAATGAATAAAGGTATGTTTCTTGGGTCCAGACATTGTGCTGCAGAAAGGCTTTACATTTAATGTCATTTTTAGTCTCACCCTAATCTTGGAAGGTGTATATCATTCACCATCATTGAACAGAAAAGGAAACTAAGACCCAGAGAGGTTAAATAAGTTGTCCAAAGCCACACAGCTAGTGTGGTAGAGCCCACCTTCATATATGTCATGGCGTCAGTTCTTAACCACCCTCTGGGTCTGAGGGCTTCAGTCCCCACCCTGATGGTTTATTCTGCTGCCTGAGAGGTACTGCCTCCCTTCTAATAACTAATAACTCAGCTTTCCTTTTCCATGATGGGGCCACGTCTGTAGACTTCCCGCCATCTCTCCACGTGCATTTTAACTATTCCTGAACATCATGTATTTTAAAGACAGGGAAGACAGACCCCTATTTTGGATAGCACAAGACTTCTGTGAAGCTGAAAACTGGGTAAAATGATAACTAAAAATACCTTGTGTTCTTTTCCATTCTCTGAGTTAGTGACTTCCTGAGATGCCGTGAAAGCTAATGAAATAATATCTCTAAATTTTTGCAGTGGAAATAGGAGAAACCAGAAATACTCATGCACTAGGAACCTAGCGTATATCCTTCTGAATATAGCATCCCATTTACTGATGTCGGCTTGTAAGCACACCCCGGAGTTAGATTATCTTGGTTTTAGGAGGTTTATGGTGGCTCCCGGGCCTTTCCCACCTGGTCTCAGGCACACGTGCTGCTGCTAGTGGGAAGCATCAGCCTTCTCTAGCTAGATATTACCGTTGTGTTATGAGAATAGTAAATACTCTGGAAAACATATTCTCTCAGCCGTCTCTGTTCCTTGGCAGGGATAGTTATAACCGGGGCCCGGAGTCTGGGATGCTATTCCCATCACTAGAAATAAGAACAGAGAGGCATCAATGAACCCTTCCTATCTGGGTTCTGGTCTGATCGCCCACATTTTTCCTCCCCTGGTCTTTCATCTCTCAGTACATGTACTCCTCCTCCCGTTGAAAACAACACAGCTCTTAGAATAGTCTCTCTGCTTCTGTCTGTCTCAACTCTGGGAACAAGAGGTCCCCTGCATACTTATCAGGACTCCCTCTTACTTGGCATCTATGGGCCAACTAGGACAAGTCCTCTACAAGAAATAGTCACCCCGGATTTGCATCCCCCAAGACTCTGCCTCCTATATCTTCTTAAATTGGCCAAACTCTACCATCCCCTGAGCATTGGTACAAAAGAGCAGTGGAAGACAGACATGGTTTTAAATCTTGACTCGAGCCCACATTGGCTATATGACCTTGGGTAGGTGACCTGGCCTCTCTCAGCCTCTCTCTGAATGTCCTCGTGTGGAGGAGAGGGACATTCATATCCATCTTGCAGTGTTGGTATGAGGATTGGAGTTCATATATGTGAAGTCTTGATAATCAGTAGGCCATTAGTAAGTAACTGGGGATACCATAGATCTTTATGTTCTAAGGCACCATCCACTTTATCTCTTGATCCTATTTTAACAACCTGAGAATTTAAAAATCTTGAAAATCTAAATGGATTTCTGAAGCAAAGTTATTTATAATGCAGTTAAAGTGCTGGCTACAAGAGTTTGGTTGCTAAAGGATGGGTAGAGCCTGGGATGGAGAGATATCACTGGAAAGATCATGAATTACATTCATTTAACTAACATTTTTTTAATCTACTATGTTGTTTGGCCCTGTGCTAGCCACTCAGGACATGGTAGAAGTAAGCTCCTGTCCTCATAGGCAATGGGCAAGATAGAAAAGTAAGGAAATCATTGCAGTGTCTGGACAGAGTAGGGGTAGAAATTTTCTTCCTTCCAACCCAGAAAACCCCTACAACAATGACTTTGTAATTACCAACAGCCCAGAATTCATGTGGAACTGTGACAAGGAATCAGGTTGCTATGCCTTTTGACTGACCAGGGGGTCAAGTGGGCAAAGTGCTGGCTTGGAAACCTATAGACTTAGTTTCTTCATCCCCAGATTAAACACTGGATCGGAGACAGAGTTCTGCTCTACAGATCTCAGTTCCCAGCTGTTGAGGAAGGAAATGTGAACAAATCTTCTCTCTGACAGGTTTAATATGAAAACATTTAATGATAAAGTGCTTCAAACTCCGTAGGAAAAAATGCCAAGGCTATACAAATTCATGGCCACTTTGCCACATCACCAAGTTCGGTCTTAGCAATGTATGCCTTGGAGGAGAAATCTAAGAGTTATAAATTAAACTGAAAGATTACTCATTTGGAGTGCAGGATGTACTGGATTCTGCTTCTGTGTCACCACACATCTGCAAGCTTGTCTTCGTACCTGGTCTGGGCAGGCCTAGCGAAGGCTCTGCCGTCCTGCAGTAAGTGGGGGGTGGGGGGTTGCTTTTGGGACTGCGGCCACTCCTGGTTCTTCACGTTGCTCAAGCATCACCTCACAGTGCTTCCCTCCATCCCTGAGCCAAATTTCTGCCCCCCTAGGCTTCCCTGTACTTTTGTAGGACCCACTTGGTACCCTGGCATATATGACCTGGAAGTGCAGGGTTGCTAATGCCTCAGGGGGGGCAAAAGTGAAAAGTCCCCACAGAGCAATCAGGGGAGCTGAGGATAAAGTCTTCCATTCCCCCCCTGGATGGCCCGGTGGGGATCCAGCAGCTTCCTCTCCTGCAAGGCATACCACCTGCTCCTTAGCACGCCCTCTGCATCCCCCTCAGCCTCCTTTCTCACCTCATTTCCTTCTGTCCTCCCTCCAGCGTCCCCGGGACTGCACTTGCCAATAAAGTATTCCTCTGACATCTTCTTGCCACAGGCACTGTATTTTCAGGAAACATGGGTAAAGACAAAGAATATTATAACTGAAGTTGACCTCAGAGATAATTTATTTGAAGGATTTTATTTTTTAGAAAAGAGAGCAACAACCAATGGGGCTGAGATAAAAGTGAGTTACTCAAACCACAGTCTCCAGGCTTCAGGTTCAGTATTCTTTAAGCAACATCACACACACATACACACACACGTATACGTGTAAATATGATATACACACGTCTCCATACATGTACACACATATATGTTGTGTGTATATATACATGTATTTAAAATGTTATTTATTTGCCTTTTCTGCCCTCCTCAGAAATAGCAGACAAGATCTACAATCTCTTCAATGGCTATACCAGTGGGAAGGAGCAACAGACAGCCTATAACACCCTCCTGGATCTGGGTTCCCCTACCCTACATCGAGTCCTCTACCACTATAACCAGCACTATGAGAGTTTTGGAGAATTCACCTGGCGGTGTGAGGATGAATTAGGCCCCAGGTAACACAAACACCATTGCCTTTCATAAAGACGTCAGCTCTTTGCAATTCTGTACACTATCATACTGCATCCATGGATTCACAAAGATTTCCTGGGTGAGCTTAGGTGCTCCGAGAAGTAAGTCCTGTGATTTTATACAGCTCAGTTCATATAGATTAGTTTGGATAAGCTGTATTTAAGTAGGGAAGTCATAAATACATTTCCTGAACTCTGAAAAAAATCTTTGCCTTTGACCTGTTTTACCCACCTCTTTATCATGCCGACACAAATGCTAAAAATGGTAGGAGCTGTGAAAGAAAATTAGGAATTTTATTGAAGAGGTTATCGTTATCCAAAACTATTTATTGTGTATGAGCTTTGCATATACAATATGCATTATATAGACATGTTTTAAGCTAAATTGCACATCCTTTGGAAAGACAATGTGGGGGTGGCCAAGATCCACCTTGACATCTATGTTGGCCAAAGTTAGGACAGTATAGTGTTTCCCAGAGTTCCCTGGCCCTGAGGCTATGACTTTTCAGTACTCAATACCCACTGCTTTTAGGTTCTACAACACAGATAGCATTCTTGGAAAGAGGAATTAGAAGACTGTGTACAGACAGATACCACCTTCCTTTTGTTTCATTCATCATGGCTACATAATCCTGCTCTGAGAAAAACAGATTTTGGTGGAAATACTGGAATTATCAGACAGATTCAGTGAAAGAGCCTTCCTTGAATTATTTAGGAATTCATAAAGAAAAAAAGGGGGAGTGCATGGACTATTTTTAGGGGGAAAAAAAGGAAAGCAAATGAAGACAATCAACACAATGGAATTCTCTGGCACTTAAAGAACTCTTGCACTCCTGCCAAGAGGCTGCCTGAAAGTATCACCCAAAAGTTGTTCCATCTATCTGACTGCTGATCGAACTGGAGGGAGACCCAGTGTCAGTGTGCTTCTTGTCACCTGAAATTATAAACTCTCCAGAAGACCATTGTTCAGGACATTCCCAGGACAGGAAATTCTCTTACTTTTGAAAGGAGGAGAAAGTTTAGGATTATCTTCCGAAATGCAATGATTTCATGTGTAAGTTTAGGAAGAATCTCTTTGCATTCCATAGATTATTTCCTGCAGTTATTATAAAGGTTGATAGTCCTCAGGCAAACAGATGCCATGGCTGTGGACCAGGACACAGAGGGAAATATATAAGGGACTCTTCATTGGCTTGGTCTCAGTTTCAGGAGAAAGCAAACCCTGGGTTAGAAAGTAGATATGTATTAAGATATGTCCTCTCTGCTCCATACCTTATTACTCCTGTCCTCATAATTACTTATGCCTAATATTATCCCCTCTCTCTGCTTCTCTCCCTAGCTCCCTTCCCCCCACCTCACTCTGCCCCCCCCGTTACCCCCCTCCTTTTCTCCCTCCTTCTGACATTTATTGAGTGTATATATAGTTTTCGGTTAGGGAACATAAATGTCACAATTTGAATAGCACTAACATTGCATATATCATCTTGATTTCCAAGGGCATTAGGATTGCTTTTAAAATTTCTCTCCTGTAACTCAAGAGTCAGAAGGAAAATTCGTTAATAAAGAAAGTGAGCAGGGGAAGAAGTGTGGATCCCCCTGAAAAGTAAGGCGTGCTGCTGACTTGACATTCTCTTCCCAGACTCTTCTCCCTGGAGACCCTGGCATGTGTGATGCTGGTTTTTCAAGGCTGTGTATTAAAAGACAGTGTGTAATTTCATTAGCTTCTGCAAATCAAGTTTTACTTTCCAGTGTCATGGGGAGAACCGCAGGAAAGGAAAAGCCCTCTGCCTTGAAATGCATCCACCACCTTTGGAGTTGGTCGTGAGCATGAACAGAAAAGGTTCTGTGGGCTACACACTCCCTGTGAGCAGGCAGAAAGGACCCCCTCAGTTCAGTTAAATCCATTCCCTTAACTTTCATGGAGGCCTCCAGATCGACTTGAGGGTTGAAATACTTTGACAACAACACTGGTTGCGTTGCTGCTAAGAAAGAAGAAATCCACAGGCTCTGAGATGATCAAGGGCAGACCCAAATTAATTATTTTTTTTTTAAAGTGACCTATGAAAGTAGCCACAAAATCTCCATGGGCTAATCAAATCCTTTCTTTTCCTGTGTCCTTGTCTTGAGGATGATGCACATGCTGCCCTCATTCTGCCTTCGCTCACTCTCCCTCCACCTTCCAAGAATTTGTCAACAACTAATGACATGTAGTGGGATAAATTAAGAGGAAGGGCCACCAAAGTCCCGTTGATGACGACTTTTGGAAGCCTGCTTGGCCAAACCGCAGAGGCAAATAGGCGGAGGAGAGACCATCTGCAGGAGATGCTATGTAGGTGGAAGGCACAGTGTTTGACTTCCTCTGACCCACCACTGAAGTGGGAGAAAATACGACTGCCCTCCGATAACCTCTCGCTCTCTCCGCCCCCGGACTCCGCTGCTGAATCTCCACACCTTTCCTCCAGGGTCATCTCTGCCCCTCTCAGGGCGTCCTCCCAGGAATGCGGTGAGGTCACCCCCTCGTGGTGGTGGTCACGGCCAGACAGAAGGGGAGGAATGAAATGAACGTGCTTATTGTTCTTTGAAAGGTCATTCTCCACGGAGTGCAGAAACTTCCATTTTCTGGAAAGAATCAGTGACCGAATTAGAAAAGAGTTGGTTCTTCACATGAGAAGTTAGCCGAGCAGCTGATAAATACTGCAAGGGATGCTGTTCATTGAGCTTTTTCAGAACTGCATTTTACAGGAGCTCATTCAAAGAAGAGAGACTTTGTGGCTCTCTGGGCACTTAGGGGTTTGAAGAACAGGAGGGACGGAGCTGAGTGAGGGAACGCTGCTCTGTCGCTCAGAGCCGGTGAGGTCTGACAGCTGGACGACAGGAGCCCCTGTCTCTGACACTGGCAGTGGGCACAGGGAAGAACGCTGTGCACCAGCAAGATGACTGTGGGGACAGCTGTCTTCCCCAGGCTGCATGCAGAGACCATCGGCTCTCCTGTTGGCCCGGAGGGATCACTGCGCCCCAGCATGTGCGAACTTGGAGAGACCTCGCTCTCCTCCGCTTCTCT